ATGGCCGCTCAGAAAAATGATCATCGGACTTATGCTCCACGCACTTTCCCCTATAACATACAAGAAACCGTTTTGAAAAAGCGCTACGTGCCCTGAAAGTCTTTCCTGGTAAGGCTTGAGATGGCCGCGCTCGATGTGCGACAATGGCGCTAAGGTCTTGTCACAGGATCCATTGTGAGTTAAAGTTGTTGCTAGAGCTGCAACGTTCCATTTCTCAGGACGTCTGCGTCTCACCCGACCCATGCTCTCCTCCCGTTACTCTCTCATCTCAGTCCTCCGTGCCTCTTTTTCGTTGCATTTCAGTATCTGAATAGGATTTTCCCTGTTTAGCAAGGACGGTTCCCCCCATGTGGTCTAAAATGTGGTGCCCGCAAAATCCCAACGCGTTATCACGAGGACAGGGGCAAGTGAAACTTGGCTCGCGATACGTACGGTCTGCAGCGCATTTTCTGCGTATCGGTTGTCCCCTATGCTCTCTCGTCCGTTTTTCGCCTCGACGCCCTGTGTCTCACCATCGTTGCACTTCCAGTTCGAGCCCCATCTCAGAACCATTGTTATTTTCGGTGGCAACAGCCATGATTAGGAAGCCCTTCGAGAAAAATAGAATACTTTCAGGTTTGAACTACACTTTGCCTTGGTGAATCAGCTGGATCGGAGACACTGTTTACCTTTCAGAGCAATATGGCGACAGATTTTGGACTGAGTTCGAGTTACGAAAGTGCGACGTGACGCCACTGACGACTGCGTCTTCTCATTTCAACCACTGTTGTAGTCAGTTTTACTCTCTTGTTGGAGGTATCCCCTTTCTCAGGCCCATGTCAATGATCTTTTCCAATGTTTTCGTTTTTTTCTTTACAAAGAAGAGATTGCAGTATTAGGGTTGCCGTCCAGTCTTTTACAGGAAATAGAGGGGCATAGAGGCTTCTGCCTTTCCTTGGCTTCATGCTATTTTATCAAAGAAATATTATGAATAATACCTCTCCGATCATTGTTGGCTTCTCGCTTATGCTTAATGAACGTATCTCGCCGGTCTTTCCAACAGGCTCCCATTTACAAGGTAGATGTGAGGTATTTGGATTACTGAAATAGCTCAAACCTATTAACCCTGAAATTCTGGCGATGACTTATTTTAGAAAGTCAGCACTCACCCAGTTTTTACAAATTCCATAAAACTGCTGCTAGTCATTTTGCTGATCTTTCGATCTTTCTTCGTCATCGGCAGCGGAGCGGTGAAATAATTGCAGTCGAACAGATAGATAACATCGGAGCAATGTGTTCCGGCTGAAAGCGGATGTTTGATCAAGAACATAGATCACTTATGAAAAGAAGCCTAGGAAAGGCACTCACTTAAATA